GGGGGGGGAGGGGGGGGGGGGGGGGGGGGGGGGATTGGGCTTGTAAGAAAAAAGCAGCAGTGTCTCTTCACCTTCTTAATTGTTTAATCATAAACACATCGGCTGCACAGCCAGATAGCTGGCCAGCAGCTCGCTGGAGGGTAATGGAGGCTACACTGTCAGAGCTGTTGACTGCGTTTGACGCATTTCAGTCAACCATAACCTCCTTATATGACAAGCATTTCCCAGTAATTAAGGTCACCAGAAAGTACAAAAACCAAAGTAAGCCATGGATAACAAAAGGTATAGAAAATGCATGTAAAAAGAAAAACAATCTATACAAATCGTTTCTAAAATCCAGAGCCAAAGAAGCTGAAACTAAATACAAGACTTATAAAAATAAATTAGTAAACATTATAAGAACCAGCAAGAGAGACCATTTTCATACATTATTGGAGCAAAATAAAAGCAACACTCAAGAAATATGGAAAATCTTAAATCAGGTAATTAGAAATAGCTCTAGTAAAGTCGATTATCCGGAGTACTTTATGAAAGATAAAAATACCATTATTGAGGATACTGCACAAATAGCAAAGGAATTTAATGAATATTTTGTTAATATTGGCAGCAACTTAGCAAAACAAATTCCTGATCCAATAAATTGTTTTGAAATAGATAAATACATAGAAAAAAATTCTTCCACAATGTTTCTTACTGCAGTGAATCAAAATGAAATATTAAATATTGTAAAAACATATAAAAGTAAAAAATCAACTGACTGTTTTAATATTGATATGACAATAGTAAAACAGATCATAGAAATTGTAGTGCGACCTTTTACATACATATGCAACTTGTCATTTCAAGCAGGTATTTTTCCATCAAAAATGAAAATAGCTAAAGTCATTCCAATTTTTAAAAGTGGAGAAAAAAAATTATTCACAAATTATAGACCAATATCACTGCTACCACAATTTTCAAAAATATTAGAAAAATTATTCTCTCACAGACTTGACAACTTTATAAACAAACACGGGCTGTTAAGTGAAAATCAATATGGCTTCAGAGAAAAACGTACAACCTTAATGGCAGTAATGGAGTTTGTGGAAGCAATAGCAACTAACATAGACAATAGGGAATTCACGGTTGGGATTTTTTTGGAGCTGAAGAAAGCTTTTGATACAATAGATCATACTATATTATTGAATAAATTAGAGAGATATGGTATCAGAGGCATAGCATATAAATGGATTGAAAGTTATTTAGAAAATAGATATCAGTATGTGCAATTCAACAACAAAAAATCCAACTCACTGAAGATTACCCATGGAGTGCCACAGGGATCAGTGCTTGGACCAAAATTATTCATTCTATATATAAATGACATCTGTAGTGTTACAAAACAATTCAAATGTGTCCTATTCGCTGATGACACAACCTTCTACTGCTG